TCAGTAATAGATCAACAAATTATTTAATTATGCAGGGCAAAAGTTAAGCAGAGCAGTATAAGAGTTTTGAGAATTCAATAATATTAAAGTTGTCTTCAGCTTTGAAATGCCTACTAACTTTATTATTGTTTATTTTGTAGAAGCGAATTCTAGAGAAAAACTTTATTGAAGCAAAAATACAACAGTTTAAATACATTTGAAATTTGTACAAACTATCGTTAACATTTTAAATAGTTTCCCTTTTCTAGCTGTTACCAGAGCACTAATATCTACCAATCTTTTATTGAACGTTTGAATGATTTTCTTTTTTTACCCTGCAAGAATTTCAACAAACAATATAACCTTTATCACGCCATCTTAAATTTATATTTCGAACGCATTACTTTCAATGCATAATCTTTTTACCGATGTAACAACAACACACGTTCAATAATTATAACCTGAATCAAGAAATAATGCAGTAAGTATAACTAGACTAATAAAGTAAGTGGAATTAACATAGTATTCGCTATTTTGATAAAAGTTCTTTCTATTTTAGGTTAGATTAATCAATTGGTAATTATACTTCAGTGTTCATTAGAAAGTTATCTCAGTGTTACTACAATCCTATCAGTTAACTATATAAGGATAATAATGATGTGGAGAAGGTAAGTACATACTATGTTATATGATACTAGGTAATAAAGTTAATAAATAAAAAAAATAGCTAATAAAATAATAATAATAATGATAATAATAAAGTTAATACTAATAATAATAAAAAAAAATAAAAAAATAAAAAAATAGAATAATAAAGAAAAGTTTCACGGATAGGTATTACAAGCGTAACAAAGTTCCCTCCTCAATTCTCGAGCTCCTGTGAGAGTATCTAAGGTAAGTAGTTTTAATGTTATTGACTGATTTTAAAATGTACTATAACTGCAGCCTTAATTATTTATTTCAGTTTTAGGGTAGTATAATTTTAGCCGGTTGCCATGGACTTTCTTTTTTAAGACCTTATCATCAAGGGCCCGAAGTTTATAAACTCCATGAGAAAAGATGTCATGAATGTAGAAAGGGCCTTCCTATTTTTCTTTGAGTTTTCCTTTATGGGTTCCTTCTAATAAGGAGTGATATACAAGAACTTGGTCGCCAATAGAATAACTCTCGATGGTGAACTTCTGGTCATGTCAGTTCTTTTGGCGTTGTTGAGACTTCTTAGTATGTTCTCGGGCTTCTTCTTAGGCTCTAGGGATTTCCCTAATAAAACTTCGACACGACATAAGAGGTTTTCTTGAAGTTTTGACTTGTCAGGAAAAGGTATTGCAGGGTTTAAAGCTTGGACTTTATAAGGTAAAATGGCATCTCGACTGTACATAAGGAAAAAGGGCTCGTATTGGGTAATAGAGTATTTTGTGGTTCAGTAGGCTAGAAGAGCGGGGGAGATATACTCGTCCTAGTCTTCTTGAAACTGGATGACACATTTTGACAAGACTTCGCAAAGAGTTCAGTTAAATTATTCCACAAGGCCATTGGTCTGCGGATGATAAGTAGTGGAATATCAGTGGTTAACTTGTAGTTGTTGACAGATGGTGGTGATTAGTTCATTGATAAAGTGTTTCCCCTGATCAGAAAGGAGCTCTCGTGGACTACTATAGCGACATATAATA